TGTATGTATCTGTGTGCGTGTGTGCGTGTGTGTACCAGCGTGTGTGTCCTTGTATGTATCTGTGTGGGTGGGTGCGTGGGTGTCCTTGTATGTATCTGTGTGGGTGTGTGAGTGTGTGTACCATCGTGTGTGTCCTTGCATGTATCTGTGTGGGTGTGTGCGTGGGTGTCCTTGTATGTATCTGTGTGCGTGTGTGCGTGTGTGTACCAGCGTGTGTGTCCTTGTATGTATCTGTGTGGGTGGGTGCGTGTGTGTCCTTGTATGTATCTGTGTGGGTGTGTGCGTGTGTGTACCAGCGTGTGTGTCCTTGTATGTATCTGTGTGTGTGTGTGTGCGTGTGTGTACCAGCATCAGTGTCCTTGTATGTATCTGTGTGTGTGTGTGCGTGTGCGTGTGTGTACCAGCGTGTGTGTTCTTGTATGTATCTGTGTGCGTGTGTGCGTGTGTGTACCAGCGTGTGCGTCCTTGTATGTATCTGTGTGGGTGTGTGCATGTGTGTACTAGCGTGTGTGTCCTTGTATGTATCTGTGTGGGTGTGTGCTTGTGTGTACCAGCGTGTGTGTCCTTGTATGCATCTGTGTGCGTGTGTGTACCAGCGTGTGCGTCCTTGTATGTATCTGTGTGCGTGTGTGTACCAGCATGTGTGTCCTTGTATGTATCTGTGTGCGTGTGTGTACCAGCGTGTGTGTACCAGCGCGTGTGTCCTTGTATGTATCTCTGTGCGTGTGTGCGTGTGCGTACCAACGTGTGCGTCCTTGTATGTATCTGTGTGTTTGTGTGCGTGCGTGTACCAGAGCGTGCGCTAACAAGTGTTCATACGTCTCTGCTTGTGTGTGCATGTGTGTGTATGTGCGTGTAAATGCTATGTGTACTGTACGTGTATGGGCGTGTAAATGTTATGTGTACTGTACGTGTATATGCGTGTAAATGCTATGTGTACTGCACGTGTATGTGCGTGTAAATGCTATGTGTACTGTACGTGTATGTGCGTGTAAATGCTATGTGTACTGTACGTGTATGTGCGTGTAAATGCTATGTGTACTGTACGTGTATGTGCGTGTAAATGCTATGTGTACTGTACGTGTATGTGCGTGTAAATGCTATGTGTACTGTACGTGTATGTGCGTGTAAATGTTATGTGTACTGTACGTGTATGGGCGTGTAAATGCTATGTGTACTGTACGTGTATGGGCGTGTAAATGCTATGTGTGCTGTACGTGTATGTGCGTGTAAATGCTATGTGTACTGTACGTGTATGTGCGTGTAAATGCTATGTGTACTGTACGTGTATGGGCGACTCACCAGCGAGGTTAACTTCAGCAGGGTCAAGTTTATTGTCACGTTCAGTGTTTCGTCCTTGCCGTCGACAGGGATGGTGTGTTGTGCCTCTCGTGACATCAACTCTTTGTACAGAGGATCGTACCGCTGACATTGGACTGTAACACATATGTTAGATCATCAGGTTTTGGAGAATAGTTGAGTGGTCAAATTACACAACGTCATGAAGTAGTACCTCGCGGATTGATAATAAACATACTTTATATCTGTACTTGGAATTGCTGAATAGTAACAGGTTTATGTAACAATCAACAAAAAGGCTTTCGTTTGAACACTTTTCTTTCTATCTCGCCCTTGAATTACGTCATTTCCAAAACAATACTAACTTTTCACAACTTTTTGTGCAATCTTACACAATTGACAATTGGAAACAATCTTCGTAAAGAAAACATCCGTCTTATGAAATATCATTGTACTAAATAATCCTAGTTTTGTCATGTCCAGATTCGATTATTTACAGGACGCTGTCGTATGTGTTGCTGGAATACTGAGGAGTGCTGCTTGCTTACAACAAACAATATATATAACGAACTCGCAATGCCCCGCGCTGAATGTTGGAGTTGACACTGAACAGAGAGTGAGTGCTGTTTTATCAATAGTCCACCAATACCATGACTGGGGGCACCAGAAATCGACTTCGCACATAGACACCGTTACTACTCTATAACAACTATAACAGAACTACTATATATAGCTATATACTATATTCCAGCGAACTATGTCGCTGTGTTCTATTCAAATTTGAGTCTGGACTTGACAAACCAGTGACCGAAAAAATGAGCATCCTAATGCAGCCAATATATTGAACAGACCAACGACCTGATGCATTTGCTTCTTGTGATCTTACCTGCTGCTAGACACGCCACAAACAGCACAGCCGTTCCTAACGCCATGTTGCCTTGCTTGGATAACTACTCCAGACTGATGCAGGTAGTTGATGATACGAGACAAAGTCACGTTATCGTTATAACAGCAGACAACGTGCCAAAGTACTAAAGTCCGGTGTCTAGTGATGGTAATAGCCTTGTTAACAACCTATCACGTCCCTGGATCGCAGTGGTTATCGGATAACTGTGTCACAACGATCGCGTGGTGGAGAGTGTGTTGTCAAAGCTACTTCAAAATTTAGCTTCTTGGTATGTTGATAGCCCTTGCATTGTCAAAGCTGGGGCATCCATTGCTTCAGCTTCCAAGGCATGTAAGTGACGTACAACAATTTTAAAAGGGGATCTCTTTCTTATGACGGACTGCTTACAAAGTGCATGACCCTGTGACCCCCAGTAACCCTGTAGCTGACCTTTCCAGCGAAAAGATCTTTGCACTTGTACGATACTCTAAATAGCTCTAATACTTCTTGACTGAAGAGGCTGAAATTGAGCATGCATGTTCCTTCCGATCAAGACATGTTATTTTGTTTAAATCATTGTGATTATATATTTATATTTTGTTATGAAAAATATTTGAAAGAAACTCACAGAAGTCTTAAGTTGTTTTTTCATGAACCACAAGGCATAGACGGCTGATTAATACAAGACGACAAAAGAGAAAATTAAAAAGAAAATTCTTGATTCTCTGACGGCAAATTTAAAAGCTTGGACAGAAATTTTGAAAGTTTTGAAAACTAATTTCAAAAAGCAAAATAAACTGTTCACATCTAATGAAAAACATTTTAATGCAACTAATGGCAATGATGAGAAAGACCCACGGCACCTGGGCCTGATGGTATTCTAAACCGGTTTTGGAAACTGTTTCCTTGCGTCCAAACACTGTTACTTCACTGTTTAAATTCTCTTGTGGATACAGGGGATGTTCCGCCTTGGTTGTGCAAAGGTCGACCAATACTTCCTCCAAAGAAAGGTGATTTGACTGTCCTTACAAACTTTCGCCCTATTACTTGTCTGGGTACACAGTACGAAATATTCACAGGGTGTCTTACAGATCTTGTGTCATCACACTGCACTGCCAATGACATTATTTACATGGAGCAAAAAGGGGCCAGAAAGGGATGTTGCGGATGTAGGGATCAATTGCTATTTAGATAAATGATTCGTGAAAAGATTAAAACTTAACACTTTAACCACTCAATGTGTTGGATGCACTACACGAAAGCGTATGATTCTGTATCTCAGGAATGGATGTTGATATCACTGGAATGTATCCCCGAGCGGCTACTTGTTTTACTAAAGTCTTCAATGAGTTGCTGGTCAACTCAACTTGAGATGTATTTGCAGGGGCAGGTGGTGACTTCGGAACCCATTTCTTTTCGAAGAGGAATATTTCAGGGCGATTCTTTTAGTCCTTTGCTTTTCTGTTTGTCACTAAATCCTTTAAGCTTTTTGCTCAGCAAAGAGGAAGGTTATCACCCTGGACCTCCTCAGCACAGATCCCCAACACCCTTTACTCACCTCCTTTACATGGATGACCTTGAACCTATTGCCAATGAAGGATCTACACTCAAAAAATAGAGGTCCATCCATGGTACGACCAAGAATATGTAGAGGGCATCATGGAAAATGATAAATACAAAATTCTTACAGCCTCAGCCCGTATACAGCCTCAGACGTATCCATGTCAACAAACCTGATCTTGTTCTTTTTGATAAATCCAATGAAATCATTGATATTGTTGAATTTTCTGTCCCTTTTGACACTAATGTGATTGACAAGATTCATGAAAAACATGGCAAATATGCGGACGTCGCTTTCGAAATGTCACGCTTGCAACCCATGTACCAAGTTGTTCGACTCCCCATTGTTTTCGATGCCTTAGGTTTGGTACCTCCCATTCTGTTGATTGACATTGGGAGAGTACCCGGGTTTGCTACCAGGAATACAGCCCTTCTGACAATCTGGGTAATGCAGAAGGCTGCAGTTTTTGGGAGTCTTCACATTCTCAGATAAAATTCTGGCTGGGTTTGACTAGACAGCGCTTTCTATGAGAAGTCCCATTCGCTGTCTGGGCTGCGCGTAGAGGGGGCAAGGGCCCTGAGCTGATGATGAGCCTAACCAGCCTGACTGTGCCAGGATCACCCAAACCCTCTTTGCTGCATTTTTTATTTTAATCTGTACATCATCATCATCATCATCATCATCATCATAATAATAATAATAATAATAATAAAAGAGAATGAATTCAAAGTGCTGTGTGCTCTGTGCGCATTTTACGCTTCAAACATTTAAGCTATGCAATTATTTGATATCAGATGACAACTCATTCTGAGTAACGTCGGATACATATTGAACTGTACCCTTTCTCTAATGGTCTAGTTAATCCACCCATAAGAGAAGAAGCCCTTATCAGTCCAATATTGACATTCCTGTGAGTGATACGCCTGCACTGTATTAACATCATGAGATAGCAATGCTGTTGTGTTGGGGTAGGGGTGCCAATTCAGAGAATATGGAAACCCATTTCGGGCAAAAAATACCATTTCGGTTTGTTGGTTTCTCTTAAAATCAAGATTTTTCTTAGATGGCTCTGGAAAGTATGTTTTGAGGCCGCCAAAGAATACAATCCCATCCCAGGAGTGAAAGGCATAGGCGGATGCAAACAAGTTACCATACGCATGGATAGGTCGTGCCGGATGTGACGTAACGATGTAGCGATACACCCGCATGTTAGACGAAACAGCCATGGCATTGGCTAAAACATGATTTGGACATGTAACCCGGATGTCAGAAATGAGACTTGTGAGTTGATACTCTGCAGTGACGTTCTGCAGCGGGGGATACAATTCCACGGCCTTGTTGGCGATGTCGCTGCCGAACAATGTCAGTTTGTCCATAACATAGTCGGTGTAATCATTCCACGCCCACGTTCTGACGTCTGTGACAGGGGGGGGGTAAGTCCGTCTCCTGGGCTGTAGTGCCTGTTGATAAACAATTCTTCGCTCAGTGAAGAGGTACGAGACTTCCTCTTACAAGGTAAATATCATATATACATCAGGCGGGCATATAAACTTAAGTGTTGAGTTTTATTCTCAACTGTACGAAAAATGACAAAGAGACACGATTCCGAAGACTGTAAATAAGCTAGATTTGGGACATCAAAATAGAATCAAGACTGTCGAAATATCATCAGATACACTATAAAACTAGTCGGTACAACTTGTTGTATGCGATTGGTTGTGCGAACTGAAGTCGTGTGCAATTTGGCATTCACGGGACTTTGAGGTTCATACAGCTTGGGTCTCGCGAGATCTCGGACTATAGCTGAAAAATATGGTTGTTATATCGTAACTCATTGATCAATTGCTGCCGAGATAGTTTTCTGACACACATTTTGAAGTTTTGAAAATTGAACTTGTGGCGAGAATTGCAATCGCGCTGCACAAGGCCTTACATGAAAATGTGAGAAACGAAAATTTGTTACCGAGTCGTTCTAAGCACCTACTGTTCATAGGTTCTTAATGGAATATTGAGACATTGAAAGACAGAAGTGACCGACGCGAGTAGGAGCCGCCATGATTGTTTAAAACTATGTGTAAATATACATGATTTTGTATAAATAGTGAGTGAGTGAGTGAGTATGGTTTAACGCCGCTTTTAGCAATATTCCAGCAATATCACGGCGGGGGACACCAGAAATGTGCTTCACACATTGTACCCATGTCGGGAATCGAACCCGGGTCTTCTGCGTGACGAGCGAACGCTTTAACCACTAGGCTACCCGACCGACCTTGTATCAATAGAGTATGTATATGTCCAATATGTCCTTGATTTAAATTTGTTTCTTTAGGACGAAGGAAGCAATCTACGGGTACCTGGCAGCTGTACATCACCCACGCCGCCGTCTAGCAGTTTCCGGGAAATATCTGTGCATGATTACAATGCAAAAACCCATTTCTGGTGTCCCCCGCCTTGATATTGCTGGAATATTGCTTAAAGCGGCGTAAATCCAAACTCACTCACTATGCAACACATTTGCAGTTAATTATCACAGGCTACAAAGGCTTGCCGTACCAATAGTTAATACGTTTACTAAATAGCCTTGAATAGTTTTATCATTTTAGCTGTTAATCTAGCAGTTAATATATAAAGGTATGTATTACTCGCCCGTGAAGAGATCACCTGTTTTAATAAACACACAGCTTTATTATGTACATTAGTGTGAAAGACGAATAATATGAAGTTGAGAAAAGTGATATTTTCATTGCAGTGAACAAAACACATAATATTTTACTGCGCCAGCAAAGTGAACATAACACTTTGACGGAACTTTGGCCATTCAAGAGTTACCTCCCCTCATAAGTGTCTAGCCCGTACACAAACTGTTGACGTCATTTTTACGTTAGTTCCACAATGACAAGGCAAATTAATGACAGATGATCATTTATGGAGTTAATATCGCTTCTTGTCGTTTGTTATTTATCTCTTGAATATGTTTCGTTATAAACTGTAAATTTCTCATTTAACTCGTCAATCGAGACTGTTCGTTTCGCAAGCGCCATTTTTGTAACATGTACTTGTCCAGCGTGTTTTCGATCGCTGCCAACAGCGGTCTCGTAGTTGTCAAAAATATTTTTTTGTGTGAATGTTCCAGGACAGTTTCCAGCAGCCAAAATATTCGACACTAAATCATTTCATCCTTTTTTTTTCTCGACGTGTTTGTGTGAAGAATATTAGGAACAGCTATAGAATCAATAATAACCACTAAACGGATACCTAACCCTAGGACCCGTGAAGATCCGGGGTAGAATAGGTCTTCAGCAACCCATGTTTGCCGTAAAACGCGACTATGCTTCTCGTAAAAGGCGACTAACGGGATCGGGTGATCAGGCTCGCTGACTTGGTTGAAGCATGGAATCGTATCCCAATTGCGTGGATCGACGCTCATGATGTAAATCCCTGGATTGTCTGGTCCAGACTCGAGTATTTACAAACCGCTGTCATATAGCTGGAATATTGCTGAGTGCGGCGTAAAACAACAAACCAAACCAAACCTAACCCTAGTGATCGCAAACACATGCCCTAACATATGCGACATTGGGATGTGTTCAGCGCCAATTTAATATTACCAAATAAACTGCATTCTTGTGCATAATAAAAAAAAATAATGAATGGAAAAAATAATCGATGACCCCTGACGTCACAGGGCATTGTTCTGCAGGTGTGACTAGCAACAAAATACTACAAATTACGTCATAGGGTATTGTCACGTGTTTGGAAAGTTTGTGGTACTCTATTCTAAAGATAGGCCCAAGTAATAAACAAAATACTAAACGAGATCCCGTGTAATACCAGTTTTATGAGACCCGTGATTAGTTCTGGTATCTGCATGACTCGCTTTCGCTCGTCAGTTACCAGTACTTTTGTCCCTTTTCATAAAATTGCTATTACACGAGACCTCGTTCACAGGAACTCGATCATAGCGTGTATAACACAATATATTCGTATAGAGAAAAAACATCTCTATGTATATACAGGGGTGTGATGTTTTTTCCTCTATACGAATATATTATGTTATACACGCTATCATCGAGTTCCTGTGACCTCGTTTAGTATTCTATATATTTCCTAAATCGGTTTCCGAATCGTGTCCTATTTTTAAAGGAAATGCTGACCTATGATAACAGGCACGTTCATCCCTCTGCCGGTCCGGAGTATCACCAGGGGCTCCTCCTCCAGAACATAGCCTGCAATGTCAAGGTCGACGTGTTAGGATTATCGGGTAAATGGGATAAAATTGTTCCAATTGTGATGTTAACTGAAGCAGTCACAATACACACCCCGGAATTGTTACCATGCCTGATCCGCACTACCCAATTTCATGGAATACCGATCAGCTACACCCAAAATCGGCTTAAAATATTTCAATTATCAGAAGTAAAACGTGTTTCATCAAATAAATGAATATACATATGGCTTCAAGCATACTGACCCGTGTTATAAGATCTGGGTAAGAACGGGTCTTCAGCAACCCATGCTTGCCGTAAAAGGCGACTGTGCTTGTCGCGAGAGGCGACTAACGGGATCGGGTGGTCAGGCTCCCTGTCTTGGTTGATGCATTTCATAGTACCCCAATTGCGAGGACTGATGCGCATGATATCAATCACTGGATTGTCTGAACTAGGCTCGATTATTTACAGACCGTCGTCATATTACAGGAATATTGCTGAGTGCGGTGTTTAACAACAGGCAGTCAAGCATAATATTGTCACCATCACATTGTAAATATATACTTTCATCATGTTTGAATCAGCGTGGATATTGATAGCCATCGGCTTTAGTACGTAGATTGATTTATATCACGTGGCAATTATACTACCATCAATTATAGCCAAAGCTCCGTTGAACTGTCCTCTCGTCGGGATTTCCATCAGGTCCGCCATGCTCCACCGCGGCCACTCGTCCCACGTGATGGACAAGGCCAGATCTTCTGCTGACTGGTTATACAGACAGTCGATGTCAAGGCAGCCGGTGTTGTTGAGGAAGGCGAGGTTGTCGGTGGATGCCTCGGACAGTGTCCTGTTTAACACCGGACTGGCACTCATCATCCACGCCCTGTGAAACAGGCCGGCTGACAGGGGGGACGCCAGCAGAGCTAGGATACTGGTACCCCCAGAACTCTGGCCAAACACTGTCACCTGGTTAGAACAGAAGGTCAGGTGGTAGACTTGCAAAACGGCATGGACTTTTAAAAAAAATATTTATTGCATCGTCGTATCCTGAAGAATGCTGTGTTTCTGTTCGTCATTCGATCTCAGTGCAATTATAAATCAGATCATTATGCATATAGTATCGGCATATTAACACATGCAATGGTAAAAGCAAAGAAGGGGAAAACGAAACAAACCCTGCATTGTCGGTTACTATGTCCTACATACGTTTAGTGATTGTCGTTTTCGATTCAGAACGACCATTGCTGCTGACACTAGGTTCTTCGCAGCCATGGCTATAGACAGAACACAACCCCTTTGCAGCCATGGTTATAGACAGAACACAACCCCTTCGCAGCCATGGCTATAGACAGAACACAACTTCTTTGCAGCCATTGCTATAGACAGAACACAACCCCTTTGCAGCCATGGTTATAGACAGAACACAACCCCTTCGCAGCCATGGCTATAGACAGAACACAACTTCTTTGCAGCCATGGCTATAGACAGAACACAACTTCTTTGCAGCCATGGCTATAGACAGAACACAACCCCTTCGCAGCCATGGCTATAGACAGAACACAACTTCTTTGCAGCCATGGCTATAGACAGAACACAACTTCTTTGCAGCCATGGCTATAGACAGAACACAACCCCTTCGCAGCCATGGCTATAGACAGAACACAACTTCTTTGCAGCCATGGCTTTAGACAGAACACAACCATTGGGAAATGAATACAATAACACGTGACCAATTCAGTTTATCAGAATGCAGGAATTTCAATGAACACAACGAAAATTTAATTATAATGATATGACAACCATGGATGTAGACGAAACAAAATCAAGTTTTTTTTGTTTTTGGTCTAAAATTGGTTTGAAGTTGATAAAATGAAATAACTGACAAGATGTACAGGTTGTCCATGGTGTACATTAACTTAACCCAGTAATCGGCACGCCGATTTATCGTGATCCACTTCGACATCACATACCATATAATTTTACGGCATATTAAATGACGGAGGCGATCCATGAAGATCCGGGGTTGAATAGGTCTTCAGCAACCCATGCTTGCCGTGAAAGGTGACATTGCTTGTCGTAAGAGGCGACTATCAGGATTGGCAGGTCAGACATGCACGCTGACTTGGTTGATGCATGTCATCGTATCCAAATTGCATGGATCGATTCTCATAATGTTAATCACTGGATTGTCTGGTCCAGATTCCATTATTTACAGATCGCCGTCATATAGCTGGGATATTGTTGTATGCGGCGTTAAACAACAAACAAACAAACATGACGGACACGCCTCGAAACTAACTATACAATGTCTGTGTAGTTGCTATAGTTACCAGCGCTGGGTTGCCCCCGAAGTGCCTGATGTTCTCCTGTACCCATCTGAGCGCCAGCAGTTGGTCCATGAAGCCGTAGTTGCCGGACGTGCCGGTCGCACTCGCACTCGTCAGGATGTCGAGAGCTAGGAACCCAAACACATTGAGGCGGTAGTTCACGCTGACGTACACGGCCTGCGTCTCTGCCGCCAATGTTGGCGTCGGGCTGGTGTCGGGGTCATTTCCGCTCAGGTACTCCAGACTTCCACCATGAATCATTACCAGTACCGGAAGTTGCGCAAACTTGTCCAAGCTTGGAGTCCATACATTTAGATACAGACAGTCTTCATCGCCCCTGAATCTCCTCCGGCTTTCAAATGTGGTTTGGAAGCATGAATTACCAAATGAATCGGCATTTAATGTGCCCTCCCAGCAGTTGGTGTGTTCAGGGGACAGAGGGACTGGGGGCTTCCATCTCAGACGGCCAGTGGGCGGAATTGCATATGGAATACCTTTAAACACGTGTACGCCATCGTGGCGCTCCCCCTTCACATGGCCACAGTTTATGTGTACTAACGTTTCCGCCAAATGTGATGACGTCGCGGGAACATGTGTGGACGTCACTGGTGTGTGAGTGGACGCCACATTCACGCCATCGTGTATATCGGAACTCCTGTTGCTGTGAAAGATTGGAACAGCAATAGCGACACAGAGCCCTGCTGTTATGATTATAACGCAAACGACGGTTATTACAAACTTTCTGACGCTGATTCCACGCGACGTAGCATGCTGTTCTGTAATCTCCATCTCGCTACTGGGTTACCTGAAACAAAGAGTGAGTGAGTGAGTGAGTGAGTGAGTGATACAGTCTGTAAAACACATGTAGTAACTTGTAGTTACTTTCTTTTTTAAGATATACTTCATGACACACATACAGTAACTTTATTTTTTTTAATATATGGTTCATGACACACATGTGCTCACCAATTTGTATACGAGTACAGCTATTTTTCAAGGCATTATCATTTCCAGCAGCCCGAGGTCTTCCATTAACTGCCCGAGGGCTTCAGCAAATGATCATGACTTGAAAAATAGCGTTACCGTTGTCATAGCTGAAATGGATAGAATTTGTTATCCAATAAAAATAAACAACAATATCATTATGGGTTATGAAACATTTTCGCATTCAACACACAAAGAATGACACTGGCCTACTTTTACAAATATGGAAACGTCATAGAACCAACCAGAAGGCCGACCTTGGACTTTGTTAACAACACTAGCCGCCATGTTTAGCTCGACAACGTTAGTTATCTGTTGATGTTTTCACTGCTGCATGTAGTTTATGGTACAGTTGTTAAGATTGGCACTGGCAAGAAAGTTCATACTGCCCCCGAAAACACCAGGACCTTTTGTGGGAACTGAGTCAGAAATGTCCATAGTAAACCCAGGTTCAAACGATCCGTAGGACATGCCGACATGTTGACGATGTGGGACATGATGTTCAGCTACAGGTTCACGGGAGTGAATATTTAAATCAGTCGCAGGAATCTTTGGTACATGAACATCATGTAGTGCCTCTCTGGGGCCCCGCTTCTGCGCACTGCTGGATCCAGAGATGTGTTTCAAGGATTCCTCAGACTTGTTTGTGATGTTGCACTGCTAGATCCAGAGATGTGTTTCAAGGATTCCTCAGACTTTTTTTGTGATGTTTCACTGCTAGATCCAGAGATGTGTTTCGAGGATTCTCCAGACTTGTTTGTGATGTTGCACTGCTAGATCCAGAGATTTGTTTCAAGGATTCCTCAGACATGTTTGTGATGTTGCACTGCTAGATCCAGAGATGTGTTTCAAGGATTCCTCAGACTTGTTTGTGATGTTGCACTGCTAGATCCAGAGATGTGTTTTAAGGATTCCTCAGACTTGTTTGTGATGTTGCACTGCTGGATCCAGAGATGTGTTTCAAGGATTCCTCAGACATGTTTGTGATGTTGCACTGCTGGATCCAGAGATGTGTTTCAAGGATTCCTCAGACTTGTTTGTGATGTTGCACTGCTAGATCCAGAGATTTGTTTCAAGGATTCCTCAGACATGTTTGTGATGTTGCACTGCTAGATCAAGAGATGTGTTTCAAGGATTCCTCAGACTTGTTTGTGATGTTGCACTGCTAGATCCAGAGATGTGTTTCAAGGATTCCTCAGGCTTGTTTGTGATGTTGCACATCTGCTTGGAGTCATCACCAGCATGGTGGGGGTATGTGATTGTGGATGCTCGGACAGAGTGACAAGTGCACACCCGGGACAAACACGCAATTCTCGATATTTTCTGCATTATGGTACTCACGGTATTTATACCTATAGGGGCATTATTGTACCAAATCCCGTTTTTATCGAAGCATTTGCGTGGGCCTTGTTATAATACGTCACAATCTAACAATCTGGATGTAGTTTTGACAGGTAGAAGAGATAGACGTTTACTGTATTTGTTGCTGACTCGTTCTCATACATCTGGACTTCCTGGTCGGAATTGCTACCTCCCTGCCGGTTTTTGGTCTCCTCAGCCGATGCAAAGGTAAGATAGTGATTGTTGTTATCATCACATTTTAGTTGAAGTGTAGTTTTAGTAAAACTTCTCCAACCTTCGCGTCTCCGACTCCCCGAATGGAAACATAGGTTGAACTAGATGTCCAAAGTCATCAGTTATTTCATCCATATCTCCTTTCTCATTTAATGGTTTATGTTGTAGTGATCTTCCCCTCATCTCAAAGTACACTTTACAGCGAGAGTCAAACATGCTGTTGGCACTCACTAATCGGCCTTAATATTGCAACAATTGGGAGGGTCTCTCACTGTTCTGTGAACTGCAGCTCTAAGTGATCTCAGGGTGCTGGGAGTTGGCGGTTCTGCTTTCTTTGTTCGATATTCGGCATAAAACTTTCGCAGAGTTTTGTCAGTGGAATTGATTGTTTGAAAATCTACCATGATTTTACAACGATTAGCCCAGTCCAAAATGAAAGAAAAGATCCATAAGTGATCTATTTAGCTTACTTTGAGGAGAACATTCTGATAAATGTTTAAAAAAATAGATGTCGTAATTTTTACGGAATTATTTGTGAATCATTTATGTTTTATTATCTCGGATAAATAAGTATTTAGCAGGGCCCAAATTTACCGGTAAAGGCTTTGGCATCCCACACAGTCAGCTTTGTTGTAATTCTGATTTCCCCTTCATCTGTATGTTAACGAGTTCTTCTTCAACTAAATCACTGTCGTTTTCAAATATATCGCTAACTTCAACCTGTTCAACCCATAACGAGGCATTAGGTTCGTGAAGCGCTCGTTCAATCTCACGAAGGGTCTCGGTCGTATCAATACTATCGGACGCCACCTTCCTTTGTTCGCATTCGGCATATCAAAAGCTGAACAGCCTATGACGTCACGTAACCACGAGCTCGATAATGACCCGTCGTCAAGCAATATGAGGGCATTGTCAATATATACAATAGCTACTCGATAATCGCAATGAACAATGATAAATGGTTTATTTCACGATAAAACATTGTTCTGTCATAACGTCAGTTCTGGAGACTTATACATGCGCTGGCAACTTGATGACGTCATATATTAGACGATGTTATTTTTTAGATAAACGACTGCGCCCCTGTTTTATTCTCTCTGCAGTGTGTTATTGTACAATAAACAACTCCCACTCGTCAATCATTTCTTAGATAAAACACTGCAGGGTGAAAAAACCAATCAAGGCTGCGCTCCTCGTGGTTTATTCTTCAACAGTCGCCCGCTCATTTCTGATAACATGCGGGCGGTTGAATGATAATTACATCCATTTTACCTATAATTCATGATAAACATTAGGCAACGTTCGGTTTCTAATAAAACAACAATTTTATTATTTAGGACTCAAGGCTTCAGTCGAAATGGCAAATCTACAAACATACACAAATTACTAAGTTAGAAGTCTAGTTCAAAATCCTTAAGTTGTAAAATAAATTTAAGAGTGCAGGGGAAAATGGAAACACTAAAAGCAAAAGTATAGTTTCCAGAGTTGGACACGACCAAAGAATAATCCAAATTAGAGTTAAACTTTGATATCTAAAATGTTTTACTTTTTCCAAATTGTAATATGTTTCCAGATTGAATACACTGCTATTATGCAAGCATTATTAAAGATTAATCTAGATCTGCAGCAACCAGTAAACAACCTAAAACATGTTGGTTGTGGTTTGGTTTGTTTGTTTATTTGTTGTCAAACAGCAATAAATAATCGAGTCTGGACCAAAAAATACAGTGATTGGCATCATGAGCATGGACCTAGGCAATTGGGATACGATGACAAGTATCAACCAAATCAGCGAGCCTGACCACCCGATCCCGTTAGTCGCCTCTTACGACAAGCATAGTCGCCTTTTACAGCAAGCATGGGTTGCTGAAGACCTATTCTTATCTCCATGGCAGACGGAGACCTTCACCAGCTTTGATATTACAAAGTAGATACAATTTATGGATAACAACTTCTCTGTTATACTGTAATATATTACCGTTAGTCGCCTCTTACGACAAGCATAGTGGCCTTTTACGGTCCTCCACATAACACACCCATAACATGGCCACACAGACAGGGTAACAATGACACACAGTCCTCCACATAACACACCCATAACATGGCCACACAGACAGGGTAACAATGACACACAGTCCTCCACATAACACACCCATAACATGGCCACACAGACAGGGTAACAATGACACACAGTCCTCCACGTAACACACCCATAACATGGCCACACAGACAGGGTAACAATGAGACACAGTCCTCCACGTCACACTTTAATAACATGGCCACACAGTACAGTGTAACAATGACACACAGTCCTCAACGTAACACACCCATAACATGGCCACACCGACAGGGTAACAATGACACACAGTCTTCCACGTAACACACCCATAACATGTCCACACAGTACAGGGTAACAATGACACACAGTCCTCCAGATAATACCCATAACATGGCCACACAGACAGGGTAACAATGACACACAGTCCTCCACATAACACACCCATAACATGGCCACACAGACAGGGTAACAATGACACACAGTCCTCCACATAACACACCCATAACATGGCCACACAGACAAGGTAACAATGACACACAGTCCTCCACGTAACACATCCATAACATGGCCACACAGACAGGGTAACAATGACACACAGTCCTCCACATAACACACACATAACATGGCCACACAGACAGGGCAACAGTGACACACAGTCCTCCACGTAACACACACATAACATGGCCACACAGCACAGGGTAACAATGACACACAGTCCTCCACGTCACACTCTAATAACATGGCCACACAGACAGGGTAACAATGACACACAGTCCTCCACGTCACACTCTAATAACATGGCCACACAGACAGGGTAACAATGGCACACAGTCCTCCACGTAACACACCCATAACATGTCCACACAGACAGGGTAACAATGACACACAGTCCTCCACATAACACACCCATAACATGGCCACAAAGATAGGGAAACAATGACACACAGTCCTCCACATAACACACCCATAACATGTCCACATAGTACAGGGTAACAATGGCACACAGTCCTCCACATAACACACCCATAACATGTCCACATAGTACAGGGTAACAATGGCACACAGTCCTCTACGTGACACACCCATAACATGTCCACACAGTACAGGGTAACAATGACACACAGTCCTCCACATAACACACCCATAACATGTCCACACAGTACAGAGCAACAATGACACACAGTCCTCCACATAACACACTCATAACATGGCCACACTGTACAGGGTCACAATGACACACAGTCCTCCACATAACACACCCATAACATGTCCACATAGTACAGGGTCACAATGACACACAGTCCTCCACATAACACACCCATAACATGGCCACAAAGATAGGGAAACAATGACACACAGTCCTCCACATAACACACCCATAACATGTCCACATAGTACAGGGTAACAATGGCACACAGTCCTCCACATAACACACCCATAACATGTCCACATAGTACAGGGTAACAATGGCACACAGTCCTCTACGTGACACACCCATAACATGTCCACACAGTACAGGGTAACAATGACACACAGTCCTCCACATAACACACCCATAACATGTCCACACAGTACAGAGCAACAATGACACACAGTCCTCCACATAACACACTCATAACATGGCCACACTGTACAGGGTCACAATGACACACAGTCCTCCACATAACACACCCATAACATGTCCACATAGTACAGGGTCACAATGACACACAGTCCTCCACATAACACACCCATAACATGTCCACATAGTACAGGGAAACAATGACACACAGTCCTCCACGTAACACACCCATAACATGTCCACACAGTACAGGGTCACAATGACACACAGTCCTCCACGTAACACACCCATAACATGGCCACACAGACAGGGTAACAATGACACACAGTCCTCCACATAACACACTCATAACATGGCCACACTGTACATGGTCACAATGACACACAGTCCTCCACGTCACACTCTAATAACATGGCCACACAGTACAGGGAAACAATGACACACAGTCATCCACATAACACACCCATAACATGGCCACACAGACAGGGAAACAATGACACACAGTCCTCCACATAACACACCCATCACATGGCCACACAGACAGGGTAACAATGACACACAGTCCTCCACATAACACACTCATAACATGGCCACACAGACAGGGTCACAATGACACACAGTCCTCCACATAACACACCCATAACATGGCCACACAGACAGGGAAACAATGACACACAGTCCTCCACATAACACACCCATCACATGGCCACACAGACAGGGTAACAATGACACACAGTCCTCCACATAACACACTCATAACATGGCCACACTGTACATGGTCACAATGACACACAGTCCTCCACGTCACACTCTAATAACATGGCCACACAGTACAGGGAAACAATGACACACAGTCATCCACATAACACACCCATAACATGGCCACACAGACAGGGAAACAATGACACACAGTCCTCCACATAACACACCCATCACATGGCCACACAGACAGGGTAACAATGACACACAGTCCTCCACATAACACACTCATAACATGGCCACACTGTACAGGGTAACAATGACACACAGTCCTCGACATAACACACCCATAACATGTCCACATAGTACAGGGTCACAATGACACACAGTCCTCCACATAACACACCCATAACATGGCCACACAGACAGGGTAACAATGACACACAGTCCTCCACGTCACACTCCAATAACATGGCCACACAGTACAGGGAAACAATGACACACAGTCCTCCACGTAACACACCCATAACATGTCCACACAATACAGGGTCACAATGACACACAGTCCTCCACATAACACACCCATAACATGTCCACACAGACAGGGTAACAATGACACACAGTCCTCCACGTAACACACCCATAACATGGCCACACAGTACAGGGAAACAATGACACACAGTCCTCCACGTAACACACTCATAACATGGCCACACAGACAGGGTAACAATGGCACACAGTCCTCCACGTCACACTCTAATAACATGGCCACACAGACAGGGTAACAATGACACACAGTCCTCCACGTCACACTCTAATAACATGGCCACACAGACAGGGTAACAATGACACACAGTTCTCCACGTCACACTCTAATAACATGGCCACACAGACAGGGTAACAATGACACACAGTCCTCCACGTCACACTCTAACAACATGGCCACACAGACAGGGTAACAATGACACACAGTCCTCCACGTCACACTCTAATAACATGGCCACACAGACAGGGTAACAATGACACACAGTCCTCCAAGTCACACTCTAATAACATGGCCACACAGACAGGGTAACAATGACACACAGTCCTCCACGTAACACACCCATAACATGGCCACACAGACAGGGTAACAATGACACACAGTCCTCCACGTCACACTCTAATAACATGGCCACACAGACAGGGTAACAATGACACACAGTCCTCCACGTCACACTCTAATAACATGGCCACACAGACAGGGTAACAATGACACACAGTCCTCCACGTCACACTCTAATAACATGGCCACACAGTACAGGGTAACAATGACACACAGTCCTCCACGTCACACTCTAATAACATGGCCACACAGACAGGGTAACAATGGTCCATGCCAACACAGTCATATTTACCCTGTACAGTTATTCCCGTAACATACCCACACAGCCTGATGATGAATTCCCATGGTTCATCTGATACAGACAGCGTGTGTGTGTTAGCCCACTGATATACCATGCCGCAGTTTAACTTGAATACCCTACTCCGACGCAGTATACTGACTCCGAGGCGACCAGTCTTCGTTTCAACAACAAGTACAATCTTTTAACGTCCTCCTCCCCCCCCCCCCCCCCCCCAGAACTTCCGCTCTCCGAACAGAAGTTGTATCCACCTAGACCACAGAGGCATTGGACAGTGACGTTTGTTTAATAATACCGACAACATGACACTACTGTGGTAACGTTTGATGTACAATACAGGGTGTATGATACACGCGTAGTGTCGCCCTGTCTGGCGTAGTTCGATTCCGACAGTGATAGAACTGTCTGTAATAAAACACCAGGTCGAGGCATAACGCCACCATTCAGTCCGCGGGTACGTCGTGATATTAAGAATATACTACCAGTATTTATATCAATGTCATAGACGTTTCAGCATTCAACATCTAGCACATATATTCCGCACTCCTTGAAGAGTAACATGCACTTTCTCTTAGTACTTACACGCATTTAAGTCGACAGCCTTTGCGATGCCTTCCGTCTTACGATGTACGCATTCAGAAGTTCCCGAGTAGTGTCGGAATCTTACATGATAACATCATACACATACAAGATTTGTGAAATAGCACAGGTAAGGTCTTTAAGAAGAAACATTATATGTCAAGCAAATATTGACCTAGAAATTGTGTAACACCGTGAGCGCCACAGCAGAGAGCGTTGCGGCATTCAAGCAGTGAGCTTCATAATGCTAAGAACTGCATTTCAGTTATGCCACAGTGGATCAGCTTTATGTAGGTGAAATGGGGTTTAACGTAGCGTTCGGCAAGCGTTCAAGATTATTGCACTTACATAGCCACGTACATGCAGGCGCGCGCGTGCGTGCGTGCGTGCGTGTGTGTGTGACTGATGCCGATTTTATAGTGCTGGTCCACTGAGATACCATACCCCATTTTTAGCTTTGTCTTTAAAACCACACTTAAACACACTATAATGACTCCGAGCCCATATTGAACAGTCCATATTAAACCAATAAATAACAGGCAGGGTAACAACAAGTACCATCATTTAACGTAGTTTGGCATGACACGGCCAAGGCATCTTGATCCCGTCCAGACACCGTCAAATCAGATATGGTGATTATGATACAGACGGAATCATACAATGGACTCTGCTTTTAACAGAGTTTTTTTTTATATTGTTGACAGGGTTTTGTCGCTTTACCTTACCCTAGCCAAAGGTCACAACAACGGCGTTTCCGTCGACAGCAGATCTTGAAACATAAGGGACGCAACTCTGCAAAATTTTGCACAACGTTTGTATGGTGACAGGCTGGGACAAACTGGAAGCCTTCGTCGTTCCACCGCCACCTTCCAACTTTCCGAGTAGACACTGAACCCGTGAACATCCGGTTAGAATCGGTCTCTAGCAACCCATGCTTTTAGTAAGAGGCGACTAACGGGATCGGGTGGTTGGACTTGGTGGATGCATGTCATCGCATCCTAAATTATATAGCCGGTCGTCTTTGCCTAATCGTGCGGTATCGCCTAAATGGTTTAGTGTCCAGAGCGTCTGCCCAAAAGGTCAGTGGTTCGATCGCCTGTCGCGGACGTCATACCCAAAACATTAACAGCTGGTGCATGTTGCTCCCCATTCTGGCGCTCGGCATTTTGAAAAAAAAGCAAGGACTGGTCGTTTTGGAGCCTGCATACTGTCTCTGACTGCTTCAGTCCGGACTAGCAGAAGCAGCCACCCACGCACACACGCATGCATGCACGCACGCACGCACGCACGCACGCACGCACGCACGTGCACGTGCCGCTTTATAAGTGCAATATTCTTGAACGCGACGTTAATCACCTACTTCACCGCACGTCACCTTATCCTGGGGCTACGACCTGGGTGAACACTTCCATTGGTCGCCCGGAACACGTCCCTTGCCCCAGCAGATACCAAGTGGGTTAGTCCTGTCACCACTTGGGATGTCAACGTTGCACCTGTCTCGGAATTGTTATTATCTTTCGGAATATTTTATCTGATGTTGTGACAACACCAGGGACAGGAGCAGTTTGTGGTACCCGCGGATGCTATCGTTTTACGTCAAACGTATACTTTGTGACTGTATTTTGCCGATTTATGCTCGTTCCTGTCCATTTACGCATTCGATATAAGAGGTGGGGTGAGGTGAAATTTGGTTTCACGTCGCTTCCAAGATTATTCCACTTATATAGCGACGTGCATGAACGTGTGTGTGTTGCTACTTGTACAAGTCCGGACTGATGCCGATTTATAGTGCTAGCACACTAATATACCATGCCGCAGTTTATCATAAATACCCCACTCAGACACAGTATACTGACTCCGAGCCGACCAGTCCTTGTTTTAACCCTTTAGTGCCGAGCGCCAGACAGGGTAACAACAAGTACCATCTTTTAACGTCTTTTGGTATAACGCGGCCGGGGATCAAACCCCGGACCTCCCCTCTCCGGGCGGACGCTCTACCACTTGACCGCGGAGGCGGTCCTTCGATATAAGATAATTGTCGAGTCTGCACCTGTAAATAAACCTAACAATACAAAAGTAACAATACATCTCCCAAAATATTTCCAGTGTAATGTTTTTTGTGATGCATATGCGTCTTTACATCACATGAAACCTCTCAAGGGATGTCCTGTTAACACGATATAAAACCGATACCCGACCTTAACGCCCTGTAATAAATCTGACCAAAATATATACGACCTCAATAATAGACGACTCGGATTATAGACGTATGTTTTGTTTGTTAAGAGTTGGCGAGTTGCCACTAATGGTAATTTTAGGTAGAAGATGCGGTACAGAGTACTGTAATAGGCAGTGCAGATTTTGTAATTTACAGGAAATTGAAGATGAGTTTCATTTTATGCTTGTCTGCCCATGTTACAGATATTTAAGAAATAAGTATTTACCTATTTATTACTCTTCCAATCCTACTTTATTTAAATATAATACACTATTATCTTGTAACCGCACTAGTATTGTAACTAATTGTGTTAAGTATATACTGGACGCACTTGCAATCCGAAATACTGTCACTTAATACCCTCTGTCATCTGCCTCATACTGTATTTTTCAATGAGTATTTGTACGTGGGTCTATGGCCTTTATACTGAAATAAAGAATTGAAAAAAAAATTGAACACGGATTTAAAAACAAAACTTGGATGTTTTTTGCTGGAGAGGTAAAAAACACACTTTTCTCAAATATTAAGGGGGCGGTCGGGTAGCCTGGTGGTTAAAGCGTTCGCTCGTCACGCTGAAGACCCGGGTTCGATTCCCGACATGGGTACAATGTGTGAAGCCCATTTCTGGTCTCCCACGCCGTGATATTGCTGGAATATTGCTAAAAGCGGCGTAAAACCATACTCACTCACTCACTCAAATATTAAGCGATTTTAGTGCACGGCGGCTCGTTCGTTAGCCCTCCAAATTCTAAGACTTTTGATAACAAATTCGATACACCTATAAAGGGTCGTTAGGGAAATACAACCGTTTGAGCATGCTACCACACGAGCATGCGTGACACCATGGTGGTTATTTTAACATAGCTGGATAGCCAATGTAACTCTTTCAGTGTTTTCAAAAGACTTCAAGAGATTTGGTCACTGCAAAGTGCTTCAAAAGACCTGCACATTTACGCCAAAAACGAAAGTTGGCACATTTCTCAAACACACAATGTAGAGCAATGTCTTTTCCGCAAAGGACTTGTATAGGTGTATGAAGGAGCCTTCTATTGCAAACCAAACGAAAGAGGGAGCAAATCCGGTCCAATTCCAACACTTACACGACTGAAAACCGCAGTTGCTTCACTTTATCAAACAGACCAATCACCTTTTAATGCTCGATAGTACCTCGGACGTTGTGAAAAGTAGACGCCGAAGGCTGGAACTGCTTAAATATTGCTCGAAATAAAGTTGATAATCGGAAAGTGGAAGTCACCTTTCTTGCCATAGAGTCTCGTGAAGAGTTTTTTGTCACTTGTTATGCGTCCCTTGGGCACGCCAGAAACCTATGATTGTGGGTTCGAATCCCGGTTCACCCCGATTATGTTACTATGTTTGTCAGCACCATACCCGTGCTCGTGGGTTTCAACGAGGTGGTAAACGTCTGAGACCTGCATCACTTCGGGCTTTCCTCCCACATTAAGCTGACACGCCGCGATATAACTGGAATACTGTTAAAAGCGGCGTTAAACCCAACTCACTCACTCACTTTGTTTTTGGCTTTGTCAATCCGAGCAGAAATTCCAAATCGAATGCTTAAAGAAAGAGATCAGCAGGAAGGGGGGCACAAATTCATGCCTGAACGTCTTACCCCAAATTTCACTCTCACATATTGTTTTCTCGGTAAACTTCAGATGACATTTGCGTTCATTTTTGCAAATTGCTCCGAACCTCTGAACACGTATACAAATATGTAACTTAAACTGTGGTCACAACGCTCAGTGACAAATGCCGGAATGAAGTTTTTCTTTAAGTTTGTTGTGAGGTATAGTGGTGTACAAAGAAAAAAATCAAATGTTTTGACAGAAACTGAATTTGCCCGTCTCTGAAATTTCAAAATTCCAAGCAAGCCCTTTGAGTTTTGAAGATTCCACATGGTTTTTATTCCGCTTGTTTCAAATACTTTTTGTGAACGTAAAGAAAGTCCTTCATTGATTGTTTTAAGTATAATAGTTACTCTTTGAGACAGGGATTTGGTGGTACATTTGCTGGACCGGAAATACACCTACCTTTGTACGGATTTCGATGGAGCTTTGGAATCCAGTACCAAAGAAAAATGGACACGTCTTCAGGTTTTAGAGCCAAGCCTGTACTGATGCGTGGTTTGGGGCAGATGTCATCATCACTTAACATACTGGCCTTATGTGAGTCCTTTATTTTATGTCACTTATACCAAGTTCTTTGATCAAACAATTTACGCAGTGATGCTTACAAGAATGTTTTTTATTTAAAGCCTTGCCAGTTGGAACAACTATAAACAATGGATGACAGCTGGCTGGGACCTACTTTCAGTGAAACGGGCGGCAGCGGATAAATTGGGACATATATAGGAATGTGCAGGTACCGATTACGTGGTCCCGTGACACGACGCAAGTTAATCTCCGCTCAGTCGGCATCAGTTTTCAATTTGTTTTAGTTTATACAGTGGCAGATTGAAGCATAGTGTCAAAGTAGACACAATTTAGGGAAAACAACTTGTGCATGTACTGTGTAGGCGGCGTTTCGGTAAGGTCCTTATACCATTGTCAAGCAAGCCTAGCTGCAACTTCCTGCTGACTGATCACTGTCTAAACACAATGTAATTAGCGTCTACCGAATCCCTACAAAAACAATGCAACACAGCTACAATCACTGTTAAACAGTACCATTCACTGACAAACAACAGTGATTATTTCTAATATCAATAAATTATTATCGCTTAGCATCCATGTTGACATTTTCGGTATCTCGGCCAGGATGATTCTTCTGCCATCGCGGTTCGTAGTTATGTCAGCACACTATCCAAACCACAAATAACAGTACTGTTGTCGCTATAAATTTGTACAAAAATATACTTTGCTACCATGCTGCGGATGTACTTTGTTACTTACTTGTTTACATATTGAATAAGACGTTTGAACTCAACGATATATTTGACCTATCCGAGGAGGTTCATTGTGACCAAATGTTATAATC